AATGTATGGGAAACTGGTAATGTATATCGAAATATCGGAAATGTGTTTAAAAATCATATCACCGTTATTGAAAAAATATATATCGCGATACATATTGATATTGAATTATTGTCCAGCCCTATTTTGAGCACTCCAGGGTGATTATGAACATGAAATTATCCAGCCATGGCTTCCTGTTTCACAGAAATATAAATAGGAGGGAAAACAAAGGCCAAATTCCAAATTAATCATCCATCACAATGAAAAAAACCAAGGAATATATTTCTGATGTGCAGCAAGATAATTGAGCTTCACAAATTAGAAAGTGACTTTAAGAAAAGAGCTAGAGCAGTGAAAATCCCCATTTCCACCATCAGGGCAATAATTAAGAATTTCCAATCAACAGAAAATGTTATGAATCTGCTTGGAAGAGGACGTTTGTCTATATCGTCCTAATGCATGGTGAGGAGAGTTTGAGTGGCTAAAGACTTCAAGGACCACAGCTGGAGAATTGCAGAAAAAGGTTGAGTTTCGGGGTCAGAAAACCTTAAGAAAGATTACCAACGGCACCTACATCACCACATGTTGTTTGGGAGGGTTTCAAGAAAAAAAAAAAAGAAAAAAAAAGAAAAAAGAAAATGCTCTCATCCAAAAACAATCCCCAGCATGCATATTCAGTTGTCAGACACGACTGGAACTTCAAATGGGACTGGTTTCTATGGTCAGATGTAACTAAAATATTAGCTTTTTAGCAGCAAACACTCAAGATGGGTTTGGTGCACACAGGGATAAAAAGTACCCCATGTGTACAATGAAATATACTGCTGTATTTTTAATGTTGTGGGCCTATATTTCTGCTGGAGGTCCTGGACATCTTGTTTAGACACATGGCATCTTTGATTCTATCTATCAAATACCAACAGATAAAAAATCTAAAAGTGACTGACTCTGTTAGAAATCTTATAATGGGCCATGTTTGGATCTTCCAACCGGACAATAATCCAAAAACAAACCTTAAAAACAACACAAAAATGGGTCACTGAGCACAAAACCAAGCTTCTGCTCTGGCCATTCCAGTCTGAGCTGAACCCTATAGAAGATAGATGAGTGGTGAACTGAAGCCCTGACTGCATCTGTTAGAAATCTTATAATGGGCCATGGTTAGATCTTCCAATCAGGACAATATTCCAAAACAAACATCAATATCAACACAAAAAAACTGGTTACTGAGCACAAAATGAAGCTTTTGCCATGGTGGTCCCAGTCTTCTGACCTGAACCCTATAGAAAATGAGTGTGGTGAACTGAAGAGGAGAAGCACCAGCATGGAGCTGGGAATCTGAAGGGTCTGGAGTGACTCTGGATGAAGGAATGGTCTCTGATCTCTTGTCAGGTATTCTCTAACCTCATCAGGCATTATAGGAGAAAACTCCTATACTATTTTAGCAAATGGAGGTTTGAAAAAGTATTGAATAAAAGGGTACCGTTAATTGTGCCCAATGTGTATTAGAGAAAAGCATTTATTTCATAATGATATTTCCCCCCATTTTAAATTCTTATTCTCCAATGAAAGGTTAGATTTTTGTGATTTTTTAAAATAAAATATCAAAAGGATTAACAATGCAGATTTATTTTCATAGCATTCTTTGATTATATGTATCATATTTACCAAGGGTACCAACAATTCTGACCGTGTGTGTGTGTGTGTGTGTGTATATATATATATATATATATATAAAAATAACATTAATACATTTAATGATTCAACCACCTGATTAAACTATCAAGATTGTTGTAGAAAATAGTAAAAACCTTTTTTTAGACCAAGACGAATAAAAAGATTACATTTCTATGAACTTGTGTTTTACATGTGTGTTTCAAATTTAAAACATTTTTTTCTTTTAAAGACTTCTTTCTTATCCTCTCAGATATCCTCATTTGCCATTGACCCAAATAGAGGTCAATGACACCATCTTTAATCTTTCTGACAGAGGTGCAAAAATCAAAACTCTTTACTTGAGCATGTGACTGATGCTGAAATGTTCTAAGTAAATAGAATTTGATATTTGGACTAAATGATGTACTATGAAGCAACGCTGACACTGATCCTTTGGTTGCATGATCACAGAGTTGCCATTGCAAGTACCTGTTTCAGTGCCAAGGTTTTCAAATGATGCAAATGTCTGTCCAGGGTACAGAGAAGTGAAAATCATGTATGGTATATTTTTAGTCAACTGGACTTTGTTTTCAATTTATTGAAGACATTTGCCACTCCTCTAAATGGCTTCATCAGTTGTCTGATGAAACTGATGTACCACCATGAAGTGACAGCTGTTAAAGAGCCACAATAGATATATTATGCCTGTATAGACTATTCTCATTCACAATCAGCCTGTCAGGACAGATCTATGCCAGTATAAGATAATGTAAGACAAGGTCTGACTGGTTACAAAAATCAAATGGCTTTATGGTCTAATCAGCATTATGACCATAGATTGGGCAACTTTCATTTGGCCTTAAGTCCAATCATGCTGCTCTGTCGTGATTCCCCCAGTTCTTAAAGCTATTCTGATCTAATCTGATCTTTTGCCTTGACAAATCAAATGATGAAATTACACACACAGAAGAACGTGTGCAGTAAACGGTTTACTCATTCAGCATGGCTAAACAGTCAATAAATGATATTCAGTTTAGTAATGAGAGGAGAGCTACAAAAGAAGTTGCTTGATCATGTTTTTAACTTACTAACTTGTATTTTGTTGCAGTTCAATGTCTCATTCTGGGAACATAGCAGGTGAAGTAAAATACTTATGTTTAAATATAAATGGTCTGAAGATTGAAGTGGCTCATTTATGATTTTTCTGCTCACCTTTGTCCTCACTGTCACTTGTAGAAAACACAGAGGAACTCAAACCTTGATCTAACATCTTCCACACATTCTGTAGGGAATGATCAGCACCTATGGGTGACAACAGAAAGTGTGATGACCCAGGCAGTGGTACCGGAGCTTCAGATTGGTTCTGCGGAGGAGTGTTTTCTTTACTGCCCACAGACTTGAGGAAGGAACAGAGAAAAGGAACTCAAACACTGAAACAACAACAACAGACTCACACGGTTTACAACCAATAAAATTACATAGACTACTGTTCAAAAATTTGGGGTCAACTAGATTTATTAAAGTATCTTATGCTCACCAAGGCTGCATATATTTAATAAAAAATACAGTGGAAACTGTAATATTGTGAAATATTATTACAATTTAAAATAACAGTTTTCTATTTGAATATATTTTAAAATTCATTCCTGTTATGGCAAGGGTAAATTTTCAGCAGCCATTACTGCAGCCTTCAGTGTCATGATTCTCCAGAAATCATTCAAATATGCTGATTTGGTGCTCAAAAAGCCTTACTATTATCAACATTGAAAACAGTTGTGCCGTTTAATATTTTGGTGGAAACTTTGAAACAGACGTTTATGTAACATTATAAATCTCAATTTTGACCAAATGAATGCATCCTTGCCAAATAAAAGTATAAAAAAAAATGTAACAGTAGTGTACGTGTAAAATATGTTATAATATATAAAATATATGTATGGGGTGGTGAAGATGTCATAGTACCTGGACTTTGATTGGAGGCTCCCATGGGTTGGCGGTTCTGCGTTTGTCTGAACTCTCACTCTCAGAGAATTGGGGACGGACTATAATCGCCATTTTCTTATTCTGATCTCTTTGTGCATATTGTAGCTCCTAGAGTGAGAATCAAAACTAATGTATTTAAATTTCATGCTTGTGTGATTATCATCAACCATGTATTTTCATATATCTGACAAAGGAGTGATCGCTAACTTTTGCCACACTCCAGTGACCTTGACAAAGAATAACATTGCATAAAAGCTGTCTAAATCTTCACATCAGTACATATACAGAGGCCAAACTGATTAATATGATGAAATATATTCTCTGTATCAATATAGAGAGCACGCTTTGATTGAACAACGTCTCTCATGCAGGAGTCACCTGAGTGGTTAGCTGGTACTGTAACTGTTCCAGGGTAGATAAGCGGCTCTTTGGCTGCACCCCATGCTCGGACTGAGAGGGTTCTTTTTCCACCGGACTG